TGTTTAAGTCTGTCTGGAGGCCAACTCTGCCAAACCTCCAAGGATTTAGTTTTCTTGTACTGTGGGTTTTTAATAAAAATTCATCTAATTTTAATAATAATTTATTGCAGTGGAATGAGAGTCATTTATTACCATGTATTGTCTCTTATGTGTGAAAATGTCCAGCTTGCCAGAATTTACAGCTCTGCAACTGTAAAATTAATCTCTTGCAAACTCACAAAGCAAGTTTCTCAAATAGACATATATCTCAAATACAAACATCAAGTAGATTATGCATCAATACATTAAAATATAGTAGCAGATCAGAAAATAATATGCAAAAAAAGTTTGCCACATGAAATAGAGATTTAATCCTTATTTTTCATCTTCACTAAGTCAACATATTATCCACCTGACACATGCATCCTAGTCCTGTTAGAACTACATCCACTGAAATAAGAATGTGTTTGTACTGTTAGTTCTAAAGGAAGAATTTTCTGGTTACACACTGAAATTCTCAAACATTCATCAGGTAAGGAATGTGACCTTTTTTCATTGCTGTTGGGATGCACCTTATTCAGGGTGGACTTTGTAGCTTAAGCAATGTTTTGTTTGGCTTTTTTCCCCTCCCAAGAGTAAAGTTTCTTAGCAAAAATATTCCAAGTTTCACACCTGTGGAAGTGTGTTTGCACTTTCACTTATCTCTTTCACAAGCAAACAGCTGTTGCTCCTGCCTTGAGGAGTGAATGTGGCATGTTTCACTCAAAGAACCTGAGTGAAATTGCATAACAGAATACAAGCACATTTTCAGATAGTATTTACAATTTTTAAAACTCTTTGAGAGCTGATAAAGTAACTAGGAACTGTCTCCATTGTCCTCCATCCAAACAACTCATTCCGTGTGACAACCAACTGAAAACTGGGAGCTGCTGATCCTGCCATTACAACAGACAGTGACTCACCTCCTTAGAAAGCAGTGGAAATGTTGAAATGACTTCTAAGTGACTTCAGGAACAAGACTCACACTGGTTCAAGTTCATAGCTGAAAAAAAATAAGAAAAGAGGTTTCAAGATTGCATACCACCATGCTTGTGTTGTTAGCAGATGATTTTGAATTTCCTGGTCTACTTTTATGTAATCTAATGTAGCAGCATTGCAGGAAAACCCTTGCTACATATTTGTTGAAATTATCTGCAACGTGGAGGTATTCTTCATACACTGTTCTGAAGAATGCAAGTGAGAAAATTACTGAAATATTTGGCAGTAGAGCAAACCAGACATATGCACTCTGTTAATAAGGAACTGTTCATATTTTTCTGTTCATATATTTGTTTAAAATATTTATTGACACACCTCCTAAAGGGCACAATATATCTCCAGCTTCAAATACAGATATACGTGCAGTTGGACTCAATGATCCTTATGGGTACCTTCCAATTCTAGATATTCTATAGTACAAGGTGAGAACTTGAAAATCAGTTAAGCTTCACCTTGGAGCAATAAGTGCTTAACCTTACATGTTACTTGCAGCTGGAATGTTCCAGCAGGAACAAGGGAACTCTTGGGTCTCTTTGGCACCAGCCACCGTGGCATGAGCTTCTGTGTCACACATAAAAGCACAGTTGCACCATCTTCCCTGTCTAAACATGGACTATGAACGTCCTTAACTAGCAAGGCATTTTAGAACACTTTGTGAAACAAGCCAAATGCTGTATTTTGAAAGGAATAACTAGCAGGAGTCAAAGTTAAACTTCTTGGGAGTAGTGTTACTGAAAAGTAAAACCATAACTACGTGAGCAAGCCTAATTTCCACTTTCACAGGCTAAGCAGATGATGACCTGATTAGTTCTCAGTGTCAGGAGGCTGCTCATCTCTCAATGCCTTCAGCTCCTATTGTCAGCATCTTATTCTACATTATTTTAGCTGACACACTTTTCAGTCTTCTTTTTTGAAACATTATTTAAGGATTAAAAACTATGTTTATCTAATATAAAAAGCAACTTTCACACTTAAACCCACTGATTTGAAATGGAAATTAAAATATTCTAATTTATTCTTTCACATTAATAATCAGTAGAAAAATATGTTCCCACTCTTGAGTGTTCAGTTCCCTACAACACAGATGCACAGCCCACAAAAAAAGGGAAAACTTGTGCCCAAGTCGTCTTCTACCAGGGAAATGGGCAGAACCTGACCAGCTATGTACAGGCACCTAGTACTGTCAGGTGTGCTCTGGGGTCTGTGAAACACTGGCACAGGCTGTCCAGAGAGGTGGTTGGATGCACCATCCCTGGATCATTCGAGGTCAGCTTGGATGGTGCTCTGAGCAGCCTGATCTGCTTGATCCTGCTCATTGCAGTGGGCTTGGACTAGATGGTTTCCAGAGGTCTCTTCCTTTGGACAGTTCTATGATTCTCTGATCCTAAAGGTCCTTTCCAACGAAAATCCTTTTATTATCCTATGATCCAGGTCTTGATATCTGTATCAAGCTTTCAGAGATACAGATGCTGCTTTTGGACATCCCCACAATGTTGTTTTTCCATTATTCAGTCATTAGTAAGAAAAAACCTGAATCAAAATGGACAAGATTTTTTCTTTTTTAAATCAATGACTGGATTAGATCTTGGAAGTGTACATATATATACAGCTACATACATGCGTATATAGACACACAAATTGTGCATATGATTTCTGTAGTTAGTTGGTCACAATTTGAGAATATCTAATGTGTTCTGACTTGGAATATGGCACATCTAGAATAAGGTTAATGAATAGAAGCAAACTTTAATTTTATTTCTAACACTAGTATTGTCGAGTTATCTTTAATTTTCTGTGGCAAGAAGTAGCTGTTAGTGCAACCAAGAGGAAACATTTCTAGAAATGTTATATAACACTACAGACCTTAGGAAAAAGCATATCATTTCTTTTTTTTTCACAAGGCTGATGAGATGCTGCCCAATTAAAAAAAAAAAAAATAAAAAAAAAAAAAAAGGAAGACAGGGTGGATGCTCATTCTTGATCTAAGGAAAGAGTAGCTCTCAATACCCCTGTGGACAGGAGTTACTTTCTCAATGCTTTCTTTCTTTCATGGACAGAAGAATCTGAAATTGAAGTTTTATGCTCTTTCTCTCCTCTGGGACTGAAGGAGGCATGGAGATGGTCTGCATAATTCAATGGCCCCACTGTTTCACTCACATAGTTTTAACTTGACAGTAAGTGGCTATTTCAGAGCAGAACCTTGTTTCAGTGAGCTGCTCTGAGAGCATCTGTGCTTATAAAATTATGCTCTTCTTTGGCTCTATTTTATTTATCATTTCAAAGAGCAACAGTAAAAAATAAATAAGTCCATCTTCCATTCCAACTTCATAATGTTGTAGAACACATAGACAGCATATATTATAGTGGTATTTCAGAGCAGTCATATTCCTAAAACACAGTCTCCATCCCTTTTTTGTGAAGAAATCTGCCACCTCCATTTCACCAATTTTTCAGCTCTTCTGCCAAAAGGGTCATATTTATGCACAGAGGTTTCTTTCCATTATGTTTTAAGCTAATTTGGGGATGGTTCTGTACAGGACTAAAACTTTGTTGTGATGATCCTTGTGGGTCTCTCCTAACTTGGCATATTCTGTGAGTCTGTGATTCTGTAACTTGTAAAACCACTGCAATCCCAGAGATTGCAATGTTTTATGTCAACTATATGTCTTGAAATATTTCAGCAAAATTCCCTCATGTACCTCTATGGTGTGATAGCTTTTAAACATAGACCAATCTGCCCAGAGTCCTGTGCACACACTGGAGTACTCACCCCTGCAACATTCATTACCATGCTGGTTCCTAAATGCTTTCAACAGGTGAAGGGAACTGACAGCCACAGGGAATTATTCTGCAAGTTGATGATATGCAAACCAGAGTCCTCTGGTCTTCGAGGCTTTTGTTCCTTGTCCTGGAGTACACTGCAATTCAGCAGTCAGCAGTGCCAAGGAAGACACTGAGCTGAGTCCTCCTTTTCCCCTTGAACATCATCAGCAGCCAGAGCCAGAATCCTTACTCAGCTCTTGCAGCTGAACTGTCTCACAGTCTCAGCTAGGGCTGAAAATGGGTATTTATTGAGAATGTGTGAGTATTCCCTTCTGTTGTCTCTGCATCCACATCTTTGTTCTTGCAGATTTTTGCAGGGAGGTAATAGGAGGAAAAGGAAACATCTCAAGTACTGTATGTAGTACTGTATGTAGTACTGTATGTAATTTACTTAATGTTATTTTTTTAAACAGTAAGGATAACACTACTGGTTCCATTGGTTTGGTTGTGTGTGAATTATTTTAGAGTAAAAAAAACATTTTAAAGTTTAAAAAAATCTAGATTTGAATTATATATAAGCTTTGTGCTGGATATTTTGCCTAAACAGCAAACAGAGCTCTCAACTAATTTGTTTTTATTTCAAAATATATAATTTGCTTTTGACTTAATTATTAATGTAAACTGATGTTTTGAAAGTTGCTAATTTGGTGGGAAAATGCCGTTCTGATGACAGACTTTGGCCAGAACAGATGTTTACAAAAATTTCTTTCTATTGTATGGAAAGAAAGTCACATAGAGAAAACATTAAGTGATTCTTAAAACCACTCACAGCACAGTTAGAGGTGATTTGGATGAGAGGGAAGGCAGAATCCAAACCGGGAAATGTTTATTTATTGTTATAGTTCTACTTACCTCAGTGATTATACCCATAAATAGATACAAATAGGCAAATCTTCACATCAAACTCAACAAGAACACTTCATTACACTTCCTATTTAAAACCTTCAGTGAAGGACAAAGAAAGAGGTTAGTTTGACAGTAGATCTTTCTTCAAAGAATTAGGTAAGTATTATTTTGTATATAGTTAGGAGGAAACTGCAGTGTGTATTGTTTATATTCAGAAACTGGAATGTGAGCTAGGCAGCATGAAGAGTGATACTACAAAACAGAAATAAAGTCATTTTGATAAAATGGATGTATAAATTCCCTTTGTCTTGAAGTTTAAAACTAAAATATGTGTTCCATTCAGCAAGAATTAATTATCCCTAACCCTATTTTACAGCATTAGGGATAAAAGCACTTGATGAACCATACAACAAATGCATGCCATTTAGTAGAATGTCAGAAAATAGCACAGCATTTATTTTTTTCCCCACCAATTCACAGCCACTGAATATGTGATGTATATGTTTTATTTAAGTTAGAAAATTTAAGAAAATGTTTTGCTGATTTTCTTGATATGGTCTGTCAGTTGATAGTCTCTGTGTGGGAAGTTTCATGTAAATTCTGATGTAGCTTTGATATCTCCAGGAAAAAAGCTGCAAACAACTTGGTTCCTTCAATATAGTTTTGTCTGTGAAGAAGGAAAGAAACACAATGAAGTCTTGTCAGGCTGTCCTGCTCTTAAAATTAGGAACATAGTCCAGTGAAGTTTTATGAGTCTTCAGAGGAATTTGCAATATTGGTAACCCCCGAAAATTACAGAAGTGCTGGACATCCTTCAATTTGGTACTCCTCTGGATTTACTTCAGAAAACTTTTTCCAGGTTTACATACCCAAGTTGGTATTACCAGTAGCCAGCAGCGTTGAGGCTTTAATGAGGGGAGACAAAAAGTAATTTGAGAATTATTGTAGGATTCTCTTCTTTCCAGAGTTCAGCATGAATTGACTCAGAGCCTGCACAAGTGTTCAGGCAACACACTGAATAGTGGCTTACCATGGTGCCTCCAACAATAAACACCAGTGACAAGTTTAAGCTATTTTTTTGTATAATTATGCTAGTTTTGGTCCCTGGACTATAAATAACTCTTTATAGCTGTTTGTACTGAAAACCACCAAAATCCTCACAGAACCGTGAGTGTCTGTGACTGATGCACTTCAAAACAGATGCTGTGATGGAAGAGTGCCCATCCACACCATCATTTTCATTGCTAGAGAAATGAAAATTACCAATGCAGTGAATTTAAAAACTGAGTAGACACCCAGTGAAAAGTGTATAATATTATGTGTTACACTGGGAATTTTGCATGCTTGCTTAGCACAGCATCTAGCATGCTGGAAATATTAGGTTTGGGCTGCCCAATGCACAGCAGAGCTTCCCATCTGGGCATGCTCATTCATGGGTACCAAGGGACTTCAGTTCTCCCCCCTTCTCTAATAGCAGAAAGAGACAAATGAAAGAAACCTGCTTATTTTCTCGTTCTGGGAATGCTCCCCAGCATCGGCCGCTCCAATCGGAAGCATCATCACACTTTTCTGTGTTACAGTCTGAAACATTCTGGCAACAGGAATTGTTGAGCCATCACGGGTGAAATCTGGATCTTCTCCAAAAACTGGAATATATTGGAAAAATGAATTAATAAATAGGTGTAATCCAGGTGGTTTTCTCTGCTATCATAAATTTAAGGAAAGAGCTGATACTAAGAGCTTCTGAGTAGAAATGGGTTTGAGTGTGTAGCCAATTGATTTCACAAATCAGCTCTGCTCTACAAATCTCTGGTTTCTTATCAATACAAAAATAAGTAAACGAGGCCTTTTGGCTACTCCTATAAAACATATCAAAATTTAACAAGGTATGGAAAATCCTGATAAGTTGTTCTACCAAAATCAATGAGATTTGTAAGGTACGAGGCTGCAGCACTGAATTGGGAAACCTGCTTTGCCTTATTGTTGAGCACAGTGCCCCTGCACACTTACAGACACACTAAGAACTGGGGAAAAAAAGGAACACAGGAACACACCTGTTTTTACTGCCCTTCTTGCTGCTTTATATAGTAGATCATTAAAATCAGCAAGCCAGGGCTTTACACCCAAAGGCATGGACACTTTCAGTTTGTTTGGACTGTTCCTCTTGGAAAAGACACCCTCCAAGTGTTCCACCACCTGTAGGGAAAATAATTTTAAAAAAAGCTTTCATCTCACCACTCAAGCTTATACCCACATTCCTACTTCTCCTGGAAGAAATAAGTGCTAAAAACATTCAGTTTACTACAAGTCTAGATTTATGAGGTGCTAAGAGAGACTGAGTTTACTGAGTTTACACAGTAGTAGCCAAAGAAAAGATTTGTCTCTTACCTGTTTCTTCACAACCGAAAGGTCCATGTTGGGGACCTGACGGATTGAGAATTTGCCAATTACTTTTGCTGGAATTACTGTTTTAATGCCTGGTTCATGGAAAGCTCCTTCAATGCCATGAATAGAGAGAGAGGGGTAACGCCACAGGTGCAGAAGTATTTCTTCCTTTAAAAAAAATTCAAAGTATAAGGGATTTGGGACCCCTTAAAAATTCATAAATATAAGGGCTATAAACAAGCCACAATGTATATAAACAACCTTTTTCCATCCTAAAATTTGTATTTGGAGACCTCTGTATTTTAAAGAAATTTGATTTTTTTTTTATTTAAACTCATGCACGTGTATTTTTATTTTTTAAAAATACTACTACTTTCAGTCATAGAATGATTTGGATGGTAACAGTTTTTCTTAAAAATGAGAAAAATAGAGCATTGTTTTAAAAATCTTCAATGTAAATTTTCATAGTGCAGTGAAGAAATTCTACTAATGAAGACTAAAAAGCACAATAGGAAAGATTATTATTTTCATTAAGTAAGTTTTCCTGGAGAAGATGCAGAGGGAAAACAAAATACTATGATTATTACTCTAAGGAAAATAGGAGAAATGTATAAATTATAAACTGGTATTCATGCAGAACCTCAGGGTGCTGCTTCTTTCCTTCAGTTTTATGAGACTAGACCTTTACCTATACATAAAATTAGCATTAATTCATCCTCATAGAGCATCAAAACTCACATAGTGTAGTTATATTATACTTTTGTATTACTGATTCTTACAGTCTAACTTTAGGAAATTTAGCATCCCTCTTGGCAGAACCTACACCACAGTAATTATGTTAGTGACAAAAAAATTAATCAACTCCTTTCTCCCAGCTGCCACTCTTATGCAGAGAAATCTTTCCAAGACAGCCCTTACCTGCTGGCTTTTTATTTAGGATATAATTTTTAATTGCTGATAAGGAGAAGCTTGTAGATTTGGATGCTTTTTATGGCGGGCTTGGCAGATATCAAAATCTGTATTAAATAAAGACCATCCAAAACATATCTGCCTAAGGCTGCCTCCCATTTTTTTCAGAGCTGAATACAACTTCTTTCCTACTGTGTAACCTAAATGTAGGCATTTTAATGCGTGTTTTATTTGGCTGATTAGGCTTAGGGGAAGGGAGGGGGTAGGCAAGGAAGGGAGACTTACACTGTTAGTTTTGCATCATTACTTTTAATTGATTATTCATATTTCAGATCACTTTCCCCAGATGCAGTGCCTTACATTTTCAGCAGACTGATTTTATTTATCTTTTACTTCTCAGTGCTCCTTTACTTTATTTTGAGCTTGCCATTAACTGAAAATATCTTTCAGTATGGCTTTATATATAAATGCTACAAATAGGTGATTTAAATTCTTTCTGCTGAGTATTCATACAGATGTTATATTACCTTGGTGCCATAGAGGAATTTTTTCACACCACAGTTTTTTGTATGTTCCTCTAGATCAAATTCAATCGATTCATACAACTTCCTTTCCTCCTCTGACAGGGCAGCAACACTGTCGTAGATTCCAGGGATCTGAATGTGACCTGTGGAATCCACAAGGCTGTCTACAAAATAAGATACAGATATCAGTACAAGGGCAACAAGTATTTCTTCCCCTTGGAAATCATAGCACCTTCTCCCTTCTCCCTAGTTCTTTACCAAATTAGTGAGCCTCACAACTGTTTGCATCTGTCAAGTTGCTTCACCGAACTTGATATATTTGCATATTTATTAAGAAAATCATTGAGCTGCTGTTTGTGTGGAGTGTGTGATGTGTCAGCCCCGCTTCTGACATGAAAGCATCATCCTACTGGGATACAAAGCAGCATTAAAAAAGTCAGATTTTGCTATGTGTGCATGTATTAAAGTTGCCTGTAATCCTTAAATGTTCTTAATTGATGTGTAACTGACATCAGCTTAACATGTCTGAAGTCCCGGCCTTACTGCCCTTACGTTTTTCTCCTGAGAAGCTGAGAAGCCTCAGAAACGAAATGTAAACAATAATTATCTGATTGCTTGGAATGTGGTTTGGAGATTACTTACCAAGAAGTCCATCTGATTGGTTCCATATGAATTGTTTTAACTTAATGACCAATCCCAGTCCAGCTGTGTCAGGACTCTGGTCAGTCATGAGTTTTTATTATTCATTCTTTGCTAGCCTTCTAATGTCTCCTTTCTCTTTCTTTAGTATAGTTTTAGTATATAATTATCATATCATATCATAATATAATAAATCAGCCTTCTAAGAACTTGGAGTCAGATTCTCATATCTCACCTCATCCTGGGGACCGTCGCAACAACACAACAATTGGTGACCACGTCTGAGGATCTTTCTTCAATGAGACTTACCTTGCAACAACTAAAGGTGTCCCTGACCGTCACTAGGTGATGATGGGCAGCTCTCCCCAGCTGCCCTGAGCAGTGATGTGAGTTCTTACCCAGCAGCGCTATCAGGTCCAGCAGCGGCTCGTGAATGATGCCCCCAAAAGTTCCAGAGTGAAGGTCCTTGCCGCCACATTCAACCTGCGCCAAAGCCACTGGTTACATGTGAACACTCACTACCTTGTTCTTCTGTCTGCTGGGTCCAGTTTTTTTGAACAAGATCACAAATGAACAGTAAATTATTTTTTTTTTAAATTATTAAATAGGAAGCATCGTGTCAGGAACAATCTGCTTTGGCAGAGAAGATGGGGCTCTGTTGTCAACCACCGAGAGAGAAATTCAGCTGTCTGTAGCACTCACATTTGAGAGCAAGGGTCCTCCTCCACTCCCTCTTTTGCTTCAGTAAGATTAAAGACATCATACATTAAACATTTGCATATTATTACTGTTTCTAACATTGGAGAATAAATTCTTCAAGATGTCTACCCTTTTTATTTAATGCAAAATCTTCTTTATAAAAGGCAAAAAATAATCTTGCTTGATACTAAGAATATATGTCCAATCTTAATTCAAGATTGCAACAAATAAAAATTTATAGGTCTCTTGAATAACAAGTCGTTAGAATAGAGGCATTTGAGTTATTAAATGGGCTCTTTTTCCAGACACATTTTCATACTTGAGTTTATCATAAAATATTTTCCTGCAAAGGACTTGTTTATTCTTCTCAAAACCTCATTACAGCTAACTGTCTACTAGCAGGGAGAGATCATTTTTGATGTTTTAATAGCATCATTTTTCTTAACCAAGACTTAGAAGAATTGAATCAAGGCTGCCAAGGCTCTTTCAGTTTAAAAAAATCTTTTTTTTTCAGACATAAAGGTTAATGCAGATTTTTCTTTAGTTCTCAAGTTCTTTAATCTTCTCTCTGAATTCCTTTTATGCTTCATCAGGAAACATTTCCAGATGAGAAATTTCTGCTCTTTATTTCACAGTAGCTCACATTGCCTGTTAAATATAGCGTGTTGGCTACAGTGAACTTTTATGTACTCCTGCCAGTGTTTACAAAAATTTTGTGTGGCTTTTAAACCCAGAGATCCAACCAAACTGAGTCCCTTTAGGCTGATTCATTATACCAAGCAGTATCTGTTGCAATAGGGCAGGGTTGATGGTTTTGGAGAGAGTTGGAGAGGCAGGTGTAGGGATGGTGTCCATGAGAACAGAGAGGGAAATGAGAAGAGACTGGCAGGGTGGCAGGAGAGTAATGGGATAGGAAAGGGATCAAGGGAAGAAATGATTGAAGAGAAGTTAATGGAAGTAATTAAGGCTAATGGAACTGAAATGAGGAGGGGAACCTGCAGAAGCCAAAAGGGGTGCAGAAGAAAGCTCTGTATTGTAAATATTAAGCTTTCCTTCAGTCCCTCTCTGCATGCAGATGTAGGTACAGCTGCATCATCCCTGTCTGTCGGAGGCTCAGCTGGAGTGAACCTGTGTCCTTTACCTCCACACAGAAGCAGGCATTGCCCCGACTCCCATAGGTGAGGGCAGGCTTCTTGTTGCTGAGCCACAGGTTGTCTGAAATTACAATATAATCAACATCAGAGAAGAACCTCTGGTTTTCTTCCTCAAGTAGCTTCTCTAGCCCCAAGGATCCTGCTTCTTCCATGCCTTCAATTACAAATTTGAAGTTCACTGGCATAGCCTACGTAAAAATTAGAAAAGTCTGGGTAAGAAACAAGCATTTTAATTTTTCTTTTAAAAAAAATCTTTAAAATTAGGAGCAGACTGGTTTGCTATGCAAATTGTGTTAGGATAAGAAAGATGTTAGATGAGTACATAGGATATATAGCTTGCTACATTAGAAAAGCCAGTGACAGACACATATGGGCTCCCAGAAAAACTTATTCTTTTCCTCATGTTTTTATCTGCTATTCATTTTCAGAGGACAATAAGTGATGTCTTTTTTCCTTCTTTGCGTTTTCAGAAAACTTGCTGGAATGTCTCATTAAACAGGCTTTCTGTCAGAGCTGTTCAATATTCTAATTGCTTTGGAAATTACAACTGTCTAATAGCAATTGCATTTTCACAGAAAATTTCCTGTCCTTTACATTTCCACTGTTACTGCCCATGTGGGAGCCACTGGCTGTGGTTTTCCCAATGTTGTCTATCACCAGACTTACATGGTGATAAAAACATTGTCAGTGACTCTACTATAATTGTCTTTTTAACACTCATAAATTTGCAAGCCTGCTGGTTGATAACGATGCATTTCCAAGAGTAATTAGGAGAACTTTTCTTATGGAATAGTGGGAGTTGAAAATGCTGACACATCCCATAGGGAACATAAATTTCAACTTAGTTTCCTGTTGCAATTCATTTTCTCATTCAAAGTTTTAAGATGTTTTCTCTTTTGATTTGCTACTCAGATTAAAGGCAAGAACAAATACGTAAAATTAAATGAACTTGTGTCATGGATGGGTTCACTGATAAATCATCAGCTGGCCACAGAAATTTTTGAAACAAACTGTTAATGAATAATGTTTGATGGTCTGTGTTGCTTTCTAGAGAAAGGCTTCAAAGGCTTTTGCTTGTTTGTTAAAAGTTCAAGATAGCTATTAGTGATTTGAAAAAACTAGAAAGATGTCAAACCCATGACCATATCCACTTACAACAACTACTCTTTAAGCAAATAATGTGTGTTTTCTAGGGTTTGCGACCAAGATCAAGTCAGTACTATAGATGCAAGAAAAACGTGTTTTCCAGAAAGTTGTATGGGGACTTTAACAAAATCAAGCCTTAGTGCTCAGTTTGTGCTATAATGTCATACAAGAGACAGAAAACTGTTTCTCATCACACTAACAGAATATGTCATTCAAATTCAGATTAAAGGATGGTAGTTAACCCAGTTACAAGCCTGAAATATATTTTTGGTTTACCTTGACCTTGGGGGTAAGACTACTCCAAAATTATTAAATTGTTTGAAGATAGCTATGTTGATCATTGTAGTAATTTAGGCAAATGTCTGACCTCAGAAATGTGTCAGACTCTGAGTGATTGTATTTCTATTTGGTCAATGCACCCATTAAAAATATTTGCTTTGATAAATCTGGTCTCTTGGTGACATAAGAGCCCATTCTGGATGAACATTTTTAGATGCTTATTCCCTTCACACAGACACATAAATTGAAGGTATCTTGTAGGCAGACAATACCAAAGATCAGCAGAATGTATCAGCAGAGATGAGTTTTCATCAGCATTCTGTAATGTCTGTTATTTTACTGTTTTATAAGCTCTCAAGAGAACAGAACAATTATCAGAGCTGTGTAATGTATGTAATACATATTGAATGTATGTAATACATATTGAATGAATGCTTCCCTGTGGGTTTTTCTTTGCAGGGCAATGGCAGTAAGAGTGTATTTACATTGCACACAGACTGCTCAAAACAGGAATGCTCCAAGACAAACTATTACTGGAGTGGGACCAGTGCCCTAATGTTGCATCAGAAATAGTTAATATTTCAAGTTGTATATAGTCTGTTGGGGCAGAGAGGTTTCATCTTACTTAGGAATGTAAATACATCCCTCCAGAGATATAATAAAAAACAACAAATAATACTAAATAGTAAAAATTAGCAATAATAATAAAAATGTAATCATTGATACCTACTAATTTCAAGGCTCTGAATGCTTCCACTGCATTTATCCAAGCTAGGACTGGTCCCTTATTGTCTGTTGCTCCACGCCCATAGAGGTTTCCTTAAAAGGAAAAGAGAAAAGTTGTTAAGCAATCTTTGAATTTTCCCTCATCACTTCAGTGTAATTGGCAAATTCCAGCTCCCACAGAAGCTTTAGTGATGGAGGGAAGAGGTGCCAAAAGTGTCAGGAGTTCACTGACTCATTTTAAATAAGGTGATGAGTGTTTGGGTGCTTCCCAAAGGAACAGTACACTTATTTCCCCCCTTTCCTATGCATTATGTTGTGGTTTCTGCTATATGCCAATTTTTGAGCTTCAATTTCAATTTGAGCTTCCCAGGAACTGTTTGTTCATACCAGGTATGCCTGGAGGATTTGCACAACTTGCAGTTTCTGGACACATCATTGAGGCTAGCTAACAAGCAGCAAAAACCCTGCAGATAAATGCCATGGCAGAATTATCAAGCTACAAGTCTAAGTATTTAATTTCTTTTTCAGCTGCACATCATGTACAGTTATCACTGTACATGAAACTGAAATCTGTGTATCTCTGCTTCTGTAGCAGTCCCCACTGGATATACACTGGAATAAGACAGAAGAATTATGCCAGTAAAGCTGTTGGGAATTGATCCCAGATAATGAGAACTCAGTGGTTATAGCCTGGGAATCAGGATTTCTGAGTTCTTACTTATCTGCTGACCCTCTATCCATTATTTTCGTTCCTTCTGTCAGCCAGTTGTGCTGGAAGGATAATTACATTAAAGGGTCCTCACATTCTTCTACCACAAATGCTAATATTTCCACACCAAGTATTAGGCAGTCACTGATGCATCTCACTAGTCACAGAACAACCATCAAAGATGAAAGCTGCTGGACGTGTCCCAAAGATTCCCACAGAAGTCCTCATGCTTTGGTTAAATAGACAGGAACTCTTCTCCCACACAGAACCTCAGTCATGAATTCCAACAATCATACAAAACTTATGAGAAGATGCACACCATTGATTTCAGTCAGTGTGTAGGGGTCAGTGTCCCAGCCATCCTCCTTCTTGGCAGGCTGCACATCCACATGACCATAGAAACATACAGTGGGCTTTTGTGGATCCTTCCCCAGTTCCCCAAGAATCACAGGAGGCAGTGGGAGGACTTGGCCATCAGGCAGCTGTGGAGAAAGGTTAGGAAAAGGCAACTATGGAAAACCAAACCTTCTAAAACTTACAAATGTACAAAAACATCTGGAATTCTCAGTATTGAAAATACTTCTACACTCAATTGACTTTTATTTGATTAGGTGCACAAATCTGACTGAATTCAGTTCTAACCTATTCAGACAAACTAAGATCTTTCCCCTCAACTGTTTATTTCCTGCTGGACTTTGCACAAGTCTTCAAATATTTTATTGTCATAAATGCCCTCCTCACTAAGATCTAACTTCCCAGCACTGGAGAAGACAGTGCTATGGAGCCTATTGGGACCCTGAAATAGTCAAAAGCCACACAAATTAATTTAGGGTTTGATTTCACCACAGACAGAAGGCAGGAGGCCTGTAAATTCAAACACAGAATCTGAAAAAAGTGTTGCTGGCAGGAGGTAGCAGCTATGTCAGACTGTCTTAAAAACAGGTTAAGGCTAAACCTCTAATGTGGCTCTGTGCAGAACAGAGTTCCACACAGCCCAATTGCATTCTCTGCAACTATCAAATGACATGACCTGAAATATTCAAGTGTTGCTGTACTTCATGGTCCTTGTGCTAAGAATCAGAATCCTCACCAAAAGCATCAGAGAAAAGAAAAGAGAATCACTATTATTGAACTTTTGAATTGCTGTTAGATTAGGAATGTAACAGCCCAGGTCAGGAAAAAAACCAATGCCTACAGTAAGGTAAGTTAATTAGAGACTGAGGTTTCTCAGAGATGAATTCTTCCCTATTGCTTTCCGACAATGAAAGGAAATAGTTTGGGTCATTTGTCAGAAGCTCTGCAAACCAAAGATGATGGTCTAGGTAGCTAACCCCTAGATGTTCTAACAACATTTTCCTTGTAAAAACAACCTCCCTCATAAAGAAAGTTCAGTGACAAATGATGCATTAGTTCTCATGCTTCATTACAGACAAAAATTTAAAAACAAACCCCAGTAAAAAACTCAGTCCTTTTACTTCAATTAAAGGCATCAAACTCCCTCCTATGCACAGAACATCAATTTGTATTTGGATTGCCTGTGTGGTTCCCAGTATGCTCTCAGTTCTCAGACCTGATTTCAGCAGGTATCATGGAGGTACAGGACTATTGATAAATTTGTATCTAACTTTCAAAAAACAACACTGTCATAGCATACATGTACACAGCACTGAATGCAATAGGTAGACCCATGGGTAGGCACAATGTTTTACGGCCAAGAATCAGATAAGCACCTCATGTGACCCCAAGTTTACTAAATTAACAGTGGCTCCCAGTGTTGCAAGTCTGTCTGCTGCCAGTGTCATCATTTGCATTACTTCTTCCCTCAGGTGTGGTTGAACAGAATCGCTTTCCACAGCCACCCATTCCTTCAGATCCTGCACAGGAAGAAAAGTGCAATTAGGTGATCCAGAATGTTGTTGTCCTCGGCCCTTGTATCAGAAATCTCACACTGGAAGATGATTTCCTTTCTGTATTATCACAGATGCTCTAAGGTTTCAGCATAGAGAAGAATCCCTTAGATGTCTCCCCACGGTTGACATTCCTCATTTTCTAAACAGGGAGGGTACTCACACTTAGGCATTCACATTGTCAACCCTGGATCTAAAATCCAGTGGAAGAGGAGGTAGACTAGATGCTGACTAGTTTGCATTATAGAAATTGCATTATGTACAGCTTACCTTGGTGGTTCTCATGAGGATTCAGAAGTGCTCATAGATTCAAAGCACAACTGATACTGACTGGACTAATTATGTTTCTGTCTTTTCACAGAGGGTTGACAAAAGTGAAAGCACAAGGCAAGGACCAAGATTCCTCTCCTTCCAAAGAGCAAACCTACAAAAACTAGTTCTGAAGCAGACAGAGTGAGAATCCTATCTGGCTTGCACGCCCCATGCAGGTGCATTTTGGCTTAGTGGAGCCTCTCGCTGAACACACTGAAAGCATGCCCACAATCATCACTTTTGCTGAAGTCCATGCAAGCCCCTCCTTCACCCCAGGAGTTCCCAGCAGCCTGCTCTCTTACAGCCTTGCTGTGTGAAGTGCATATTGCACTCCTGGTGCCAGACTTGGAACCCGGCTCAGTACCTTTGTGACAGGCACTTCTCCTGCCTCTGGAGCACCAGCTCTGTGCTCATTATTTCACTGCAGTACAGCTCCTACCTTGATGAAATCACTTTGATGTGCATCAATGTACTGGAAGATCTCCATCTCCAATGCTGAAGAGGATGAGGAGGACATTACTGCCTTAGAGAGCAGCACAGGGCTGAAATGGATGCTATCTGAAAGTTAAGGATAAAATTCAACATTGCAGACATCCTTCAATATACATTTATTTTCAACACTAAAAAGCAGAGATATTTACAAATTTCTGAGCTTATTTAATATCTCATACTTTCTCCTCAAGCCAGGAGAAAGTATACTCATTTTATCACATAAAAACTTCCATTGATTCATAGTCAAGTTGCTGAAAGAAAAATTGAAAAATTACCAAAGAGTGAACATTTTTAGTGTTAGCTTTATAAATAACTTAGGGGTAACATTTTCTACAGAAACATTTGTTGCATCAGTTTTTCAGTGCACAAGCATCAAATTGTATGTTCTGAGAAGACAACCCTGGGACAAGACTTGCAGACACCAACAGCCCAGGGCACTCATCTTTCTTTTTCTTCATTTGTAGAATCATATAATATCCTGAAATGGAAGGGATCCACACAGATCTTTGAGTCCAGGACCTGGCCCTACACACACAATTCCAAGAATCCCACCAATGAGACTTCAATGAGATCTGTCCTCAGTCTCCTCCAGGCTGAACAGAACAAGTGACCTCAGGTGCTCCTCCTATGGCTTCTCCTCAAGGCCCTTCACCACCTTCATTGCCCTCCTTTGGACACTCTCTAATGGTTTAATATCTTTCTTACACTGTGGCACCCAAAACTGCACCCAGCACTCAAGGTGAGGCCATGCCAGTGCAAAACAGAGCAGAACAATCCCCTCCCTTGCCCAAATGGTGATGCTGCACCCCAGGACATGATTTTTCCCCCAGACTGCCAGAAGAAGGCAGAAAAATGGATTCACTGACACACATTTCGTATTTTATATGAATAAGGGAAAACAACCCTGACACTGGAGAGTATTAGAAAACAAATAGTTTTTGTTGTTGATTAAGAACAGTGACAATGCTGAAATACTTGATATGTGCAGAATTCATTTAGTACCTGCAAACCTCTCTGCCATCTTTTTTTTTTTTTTTTTGTTTGACAAGATAAGGTTTTAAGGTGTGTTTTTCTTATTCCTCCAGTTTTCCTTTCCTGTTTGCTTGAAGTTGTTGCTGTAGTGTCTTGAATTGGTTCTAGCAGACTAATCCTTGGATGGCTAAATACTTGTTTGGGCTAAATTCAGAGCTGCTGCTGTATCAGGCTGTCATAGGATGGACTCCAAGGTCAAAACCCAGTACTTTTCTGAAGATACTCTATACTTGTAACAAAAGGTATACTTGCAGATCCATCCACATCTCCTTAACTCTGATGCATTGCTAAGGTGATAGGCTATGGTAATATTAATAATTTCAATTATGTTTCTCTGACAGAGAAGGAAGATTGAAAACCCAAGCATGATGATCAAGATGAGGGAAACATTGTTCACTTAGGCTGGAGAGCCCGGCTGCATGAAGGATGGGCTCCCATTTTCCAACCTTCCCACAGAAGCAAGGTTACAAGGTTTGCTTCACTCCCAGAAGTGAAGCTTTGAGAAGGCCTCTGACAGTAAATTTAGTTCCCAGTGCCCAGTTCCTGACATCTCTTAACACTGGAAACACTGTCATTGAAACAGACCAAATGCTGATTTTGCAGGAGAGTAAATCTGGAAAGAACTGTTTTGGAGAAGACTTGTTAACCAAGCCAAGAAAATCCAAATTTGGAGGTGGTTTTTAGGATGGAGAGATTAAATTTACCCATATTATTTAAATATAGAAGTATTTTTAAGGTACTAAACCCCAGCCTTAAGTGACAGGCAAAGTACCATTTTTTTCTCACATTTTTTTTTCTCCATAAAACAGTAAACCCTACCTCCAAGTGGTGGATCTAATCAACAATCCCCTTCAAATATTTTCATCATCAGTCACTGCAGCAGCAATTTGTCCTAAAGCAAAAGTGATGATTACAGGAATTTTGGAAGCAAGACATGGTAGAGAATGAGGTTTTGGTCATTTAGGTTACAGTCACCTTTGGATTGAGCTTCTTCAGGTAAGGCTTAAGAACAGGAATTCTGCAACAAGTACCCTAAACTTAAAACCGCCAGTCTGAATATTTCTTCCAGCCTTGGACTGTGCAAATATTTGTCAACTGAAGCCCATTTTTCAGGGGCAATAGGAAGGCAGAGTGTGGCCCACAGGCATGGTCAGGGGGACTTCCCAGGCTGCACAGGGCAGAGGAGAGAAGACAATGAGCCCCAGACTGGGGTGGTGGTAATGGGACCCTGGCAAACCCTGAGTTTCCTGGCACAGACAAGACACTGGCTCTTGCTGAGGTGGTACCTGGGTAGATACAGGAGGGCATCTTAGCCAAGACATATCAGGTCATGTTCAAAAGGGGCTCAAGGTCCTTGGAGATGATCAGCATTAGGTAAAAGCTGAGCACAGAGGCCATTTATGTTATTTTATTCTCTTTTTGTCACTGTGCACTTTTGAGGGACCAGGCAATGACTTTGCTTGTGCCATGTTGCTCAGTCTCATTTCAGCCAGCTGTGTGTCCCAGGAGAGCAAAGTTTACCTTCAGGCTGGTGCTTTTGACTGATAAAGATATTCCACCAGGGAGCTGGGCACCACATGAGCTGAAGAAGAGGATGGGACCATGATGGGTGCATTTGTGAGGGGCTCTGGCAAAGTGCAAGGCACTGCACCCTCGGAAGAAAGTGATAGGAATAGGAATGGAACAGGGAGAATTCATCTGAAGCTGGGATGAGACCCGATTTCGCTGGTCAAGAAATCCCAGAATTTCAATCAGCTGTTCATCTAGAGAGACATCAGGGCTATTATCTTGCTTTACCAGGAAGCTGGCTGGATACCTCAGTTTCACACGTATTTCACTCATTTTTCTACCTTGTAATTTCCAGACCTCAGTTTGGAAAACATTTACAACAGAGGCCACTGAATGCACCCTCGTTTAAACTTACTGTAGAAAACTAGACAGGCTTCTCAAGTTCACTTACTTTAAAAAAATAGATCTTTATGCCACACTTGACCAAGTAAGATCATAGCAGAGGACAGAACATGGCTGCTAGAGGCACCAAGCTCATGCAATGGATTTAAATATCAGTGTCTCCATCACATGTGATTTCCCCTCCCTCTAGTGAAATCTTTGATATTGCTGTATTATATACATTTTCACTCTAAAAAACAGTATCTTTATATATATATATATATATATATATATATATATATATATGTCACCTTTTGGTGACTTGAATAAATACATGACTTGAATAAATAGATACCTTTTAATGTCAGAAGTACAAAAGGGCTCCTTGCTTTTACAGAGGATGTGTGCTGGTATCTCTCTCTTTTTGTCTCACTTACGTGCAAATGACCTGGAAAGAGGCAGACAAGAGACGTAGGTCTTTGTCATGTTTCATTAGCATTTAACTGTTTAAGAAAATGAAACAAGGAGGCTAAAATGCTGTGAAGGAAAAAAACCCCAACCAACCAAGCAAAATCCTTGGGAAATATCCTAGGGAAATTTGGAATTATTCTGTGATATTTTCAAAACAGACCAAACTCTAAGACCATAGATTATCACAAAAATACTCATTAAAGTAAGGAACAGTAGCAAAGTTCAGAAAAATGAATGTGAGGAGATACCAAGTAGCAGAGTGCACAAAATACTAATAATTCAAACAAGAATTTAGGTAACAGCTATGTTTTGCTGTAGTAGAAGGAGGGAGGGGAGTAGCATGTTAAAGAACTGCTCAGGAGCATTTGGATGGCAACTGGAACAGCTCGTGTCAAAAAGGGAGTCGTTTTAATAAAGCTGTAGAAAGATTTCAGGCAAGGCTGAAATATCTAAGTGTCATGAGAAGGGGAAAAAGTATATAAAAGAATGATAAATTCAGGGGGGATATCAAACAAAGACTTCAGTGTTCAATGTCAAGAGTATTTTATTTGATGTCATTTAACGGAGCAGTTACTGCTCTATAGAAAAATGTAGTATGCCTATTTTTAGAAATAATAATGCATGGCAGTCAGTTGTGCTCTTTCTCTTTCTTTGTTCCTTAGTAGTAAGAACATTTTTTGTGTCACTTCCTCCCATGTCGTAAAGCACTTGTTAAAGGAACACCTAGTGTTTTTCTGTGGTGACTTAACAAGAAATCCAAGTTGATTCTTTAACTAGGATGAATCTTTGATGAAATATCAAGTAAACTTACAAACATTTGAGAAGTAGGTCCTGAACATGCTCTGAACATGCTCCTTATTTCTCCTGAAGCATGTGCTTCATGCACTTCCCTCCCTACAACACAGCGTTCCAGGTGGGTGCAGGAAGAGGGTGCCAATGAAAACTGAACACTGGGTTGCACACATCCCAGAGAAAACAGTCAGGACTCATCTGGCTTGCAAATAACAAAGTACATTTGACATGAAAGGAGATAAAGATGTTTATGGCAGTAGGAACTAATTTACCAAATCACTGGTGGACTCCGTTGATAGGAACATTCCCCCTAAGCAGTCACCATCAAGGCAGGTAACTGAGATAATGGGTTTATTTTTTAACATCCTTTAACAAGACTCGTTTATAAGTGGCATACCTTTGGTAGCAGCAGGCAATCAAGCCACAGTCACCTCTCCAGCTGAGTGACACCCTTGGGGGGGGAGGATGAGGATGACAGCTCTTCACATGGCAGTTCTCAAGCCCAGCCCTGACCATGTGCAGCCCCTGTTGTCATAAGGAACAAGAGCTGCAGAGACCCAGACACCTGCAGGGGAATGAATGCCAGCTCACAGTGCCTGACTGCATTTGAAGATTACTAACGAAGTATCATCCAAATCAATGGACTGTGTGACAGCAATGAAAATATCTGGTGGGAAGCATAGGCAAGGTCTACACTTGCTGGCAGGTGACGCTGCGACACCCAGTGCTATTTCCAGCAGTCAGCTCTCAAAGTGTTGCAATATTGATTGCCTAAATGGTGTTTTGGAGAGCAGCAGTGACCAGCCCTGCCCCTGCTCAAGCCAAACCTTCAGTGAAAAA